GGTCCTGAACTCTGGGCCTGGGCACTGTCCCTTAGCTCTTCAGCTCAAGGCTAGTGCTCTAACCACTTGAGCCACAGCACCACTTCTGGCTTTTTTTTTTTTTGCTTATGTGGTGCTGAGGAATCAAACCCAGGGCCTCATGCATGCAAGGCAAGCACTCTACCATTAAGCTACCTTCCCAGCCCCTGGATTTTTTTTTTAAGCTAGGATCTTGCTATGTAGTCTAGGCTAGCTGTAAACACTCAATCTTCCTGTCTAAGCCTCCTGAGTGCTGGGATTATAAAATTGAGCCACTACACCTGGATGAATTACTTGGTTTTGATACTATATGGTGGTTGTGTGAAATACTGTGAGCAGTAGTTAGTGAAAAAATTCATGAGACTTCCCTGTAAAGTAACATCTTGCAAATCTGTAAATATTTCAAAAGGAAAAAATAGACACAGAACAGAAATTGCTAAATTTAAAAATGTTGTATTATACATTGTATATCTTATTGTATATCTTATTATATATTATGATGTTATGTATATATGTGTATACTTATGTGTATGTATATATGTGTATTTGTATATACATATATACCTATAGGTACCTACGCATCCCCCCATCCTCATGAAAATAATGATACTGTCATGTTATTAGATTTCATTCAGGATAGTGGTATCCTGATTATATACATACTTTTTAACCTTTAATCATAATAATATGGAATTTGCATACGAATATTGCTTTACATGATTATCCTGCTCTATATAGCATCTGTTCCAAAAATGTTGTTTGTCCAAAAATGTTAGTCACACACCAGTCACCCCATACAAACTGAATTTCTAGTTACAATGCTGCTTCATGACCCAGAATGTAGTTGGTGTATGGCTTCAACTCTGTTCACTGATTCATGATTCTGTTACATTCAAGTGAGTCAGTATATGTATGTTTGTGTGTACACACATTTGGTTATAATGGGTTTTAAACTTAAGTGTCTCATATTTCCTAGGCAGGTCTTTTACCTATTAAGCCACATCTTTTAGCTCTTTTTGCTTTAAGTTATCTTTCAACTATGGTCTCATACATTTTGCCTGAAGTGGCTGACCCTGGACTATAATCATTCTACCTATGTCCCCCAAGTGCCTGGGACCACAGAAATGTTGATATTTTTTGTGTGTGAGTTGGGAATTAAACCTAGGGCTTTATGCTTGCATCCTAGGTAACCCTATACCATTGAACTATACCCATAGTCCTCAAGTGCATAGTTTTTCAAAAGTAACTATGGCTTTCATTCTTACCTTGCATTAGGAGTAAGGCTCCGTAAGACATGAATCAGAGAACTAAGTGGTAGAGATCCAGACTGTTTAACCAGAAGAGAATTCTCATAGGAAGTTTCTTCACTATAAGGACTGTATGTAGTAGTTTCGTACCACAGCCAATTATAAAGACTCTGCTTTACATGATCCCACACTATGGTATATGATCAACAAAAACAATTACAAATTATTTTCATACTGTCATGTTACTAGATTTCCATTCAGAAAAGACTGAGAAAATATCAAATTTTAAAAGATGAATCCCTGGTTGAATCCTCAGAACCACATTAGAAAAAGATAAAAAAAATCCTAAACATTGTCATTTTTATCCCTTGCTATCCAAATCAGTAACTCACAATCTGCTTGCACTGTCAATCAAAATCTGAACTTTTATTTGTATATTATGTACAAATTAAGGTATCTATACTATCTATCAAGGCATTCTTTTAAAGAATGATCTAACATTTTATTTTATACAATTATCATAAGGTTTGTGGATGAAGTTTATAAAATAAATTTTATAATACAAAGAGAAGAAAGAACAAAATAAAATAATATGTGGTCTCCTTCAGGTGCAAAATATCCTTTATTAGTATATGAAGCCTTCTTTTCTTTTCTTTTTTTTGGTCCAGTCATGGGGCCTGAACTCTGGGCCTGGGCGCTGTCCCTCAGCTCTTCAGCTCAAGGCTAGCACTCTACCACTTGAGCCACAGCACCACTTCTGGCTTTTTGTTCTTTTTGCTTATGTGGTGCTGAGGAATCGAACCCAGGGCCTGAAGCATGCAAGGCAAGCACTCTACCACTGAGCCACCTTCCCAGCCCCTGAAGTCTTATTTTCTTTTCTTTTTTTTTTTTTTGCTGGTCGTGGGCCTGAACTCTGGGCTTGGGTGCTGTCCCTCCGCTCTTCAGCTCAAGGCGAGCGCTCTGCCACAGCGCCACTTCCAGCTTTTTTTTTCTTTTTGCTTATGTGGTACTGAGGAATCGAACCCAGGGCCTCAGGCATGCAAGGCAAGCACTCTACCACTGAGCTACCTTCCCAGCCCCTGAAGCCTTATTTTCAAGAATTACTTTTTTTTCTTTTTTTGTCAGTTGTGGCGCCTGAATTCTGGGCCTGGGCACTGCCCCTGCACTCTTCAGCTCAAGGTAAGTGCTGTACCACTTGAGCCACAGTGCCACTTCCTGTTTTCTAGTGGTTAATTAGAGCTAACAATCTCATGGGGACTTTCCTACCTGGGCTGGCTTTGAACCAAGATCCTCAGATCTCAGCCTCCTAAGTAGCTAGGATTACAGGTGTGAGCCACTGATACCCAGCTTCAAGAATTACTTTTTACATCAAGTTGAATTTTTGGCACACCATATCTTTAAACATCTGATAGAGGGAAAGTATACTGAAAAACCATTAAAACTCTTTCAAAACAAACAAACAAAAAAAAAACCAGTATTATTGAACTTACTGAGAGGAGCATTGAGGTGATCAATAGATGCTATAAGGTGTATGTTGTGCAAAGCTGACAACTGTCCGATAATTTGCTGGCTACTGTCTCCTCTCAACATTTGGCTATCCAAATTGTGAATAAGAAGGAAGAGTTCTAAGGAAGGATCTGAAAGGAACACGAATCCAATATTTAGTTTTAGTAAATATCTGTAAAGTCCCTACCATATGAACTACCTAGGTATTAAATATCAAAGTAAACTGGGACTGGTGACTCATCCCTGGTATCCAAGCTACTGAAGAGCCTGAAACCTGGGGAATCACGGTTCCAAAAACAACGCAGGTAGAAGAGTCTGAGAGAATTCATCTCCAATTAACCAGTAGAAAGCTGAGCTGAAGGTGTGACGGAAGAGGCAAAGAACCAGCTGTAACAAGCTGAGTAAACATGAGACCCTTGAGTTCAAGCCTTGGTAGTGGCAAAACAAAGACAAGTAATATAGGACAAAATAATGATAGCTAGCCAAGTGTGGTTGCAAATACATGCACTCCTAGCTACTCTAGAGGCTGAAGCCAGAGAATAACTTGAGCCCAGGAGTTTGAGGTCAGCTGAACAGTATTATGCGATCACATTTTTAGAAAAAAAATGCTTAGAGGTATGCAATCTATTAGAAGATATATGTCATTTACTCATAAAGTAGGTAAGACATTATGGTTAGTGCTTAAACCAGATTCTAAAAAACAAGCAGTCTTAAACAAGACACATATAATAAATGAGACAATGCATGTTGCATTGTAAGGTAGGAAGGACACCATGAAGAGCTTCCATTAAGGGCTGGGAATGTGGCTTAATGGTAGAGTGCTTGCCTAACATGCATGAAGCCCTGGGTTCGATTCCTCAGTACCACATAAACAGAAAAAGCTGGAAGTGGTGCTGTGGTTCAAGTGGTAGAGTGCTAGCCTTGAGCAAAAAAGAAGCTCAAAGACAGTGCCCAGGCCCTGAGTTCAAGCCCCAGAACTGGGGGACAATTTTTTGATGGCTGCCAGTGGCTCACGCATGTAACACTAACTACTCAGGAGGCTGAGATCTGAGGATTGAAGTTGAAAGTCAGCCCAGGCAGGGAAGTCCGTGAGACTTCTATTTCCAATTGATCACCAGGAAACCAAAAGTGTGCTGTGGCTCAAGTGGCAGAGCACTCGCCTTAAGCTGAAGAGCTCAGGGACAGTGCCCAGGCCCAGAGCGCAAGCCCCACAACTGATCAAAATTTTTCATTAAACAATGAGAGACTCATTAAACACACACACACACACACACACACACACACCTGATTATCACAAAAGCCAAAGGAGACAAGAAAAAAGTATGGTATTGACTGCTTAAAGCATCAGAAAATTCAGGGAACTAAATATAGAAGTTAATGAAGAAAGGATATTGGATAGAGCTGTCAAAACCACTATAGATTAAATGAGCCAAGGTCAATGAGCTTATTAGTAAGAAGAAATTACAGGTAATCAACAAGCACACAGTTCAGGTATATGAAGAAATACACAGTAAAAAGTAGGTGGAAATGTTTTTTAAAAACTCCTAATTTGGGGCTGGGAAGGTGGCTCAGTGGTAGAGTGCTTGCTTTGCATTCATGAAGCCCTGGGTTCGATTCTTCAGCACCACATAAGCAGAAAAAGCCAGAATTATTCAGCACCACATAAGCAGAAAAAGCCAGAAGTGGAGCTGTGGCTCAAGTGGTAGAGCGCTAGCCTTGAGCTGAAGAGCTGAGGTGAGGGACAGTACCCAGGCCTAGAGTTCTGGCCTCACAACTGACAAAAAAAAAAAAAAAATCCTAAATTCTGAGGAAAAAAGGAAAATAGTATGGAGGGTAGCAGAATCAGGTAAATTTTCTTCTATGCATGTTTAAAAACCAAGTATTCTTAAGTCTCTCAGGAGACAGTTGAAAAGGAATCCTTTCAGAGAGTAAGTAAATTCTCTTCCATTGGAGGTGGACAGAACAGGAGAAACAACACAGACAAGAGGATCTGAAAATACAGCATCGTGGTAGATCCCTTGCCTGCCAGGCTAGGTTCAATACCTAGCACGACAGAAACAAACCAACAACTCTAGAGTGACAAGAGTCTGAGAAAAATCCCAGATCCCTGATCAATGACACTGACTCAGTGACTCAAGTATCTATTTTAACAATAGTATAAGCAATCTTTCTTGGCTATCTTACAAGATCTGTGGTAAAAGGATAAAAATTAGTTTTTGTTATTTTGCAAGTGGGACAACATTTTGATATTAAAATAGATGTTATAAATCAAACAGCCTAGAAAATTAAGACAAAATTATTATACAGAGCAACATATTCTAGCAATTGACTTTTAAAATAAGGCTGAAAGCTAGGCACCAGTGGCTCATGCTTGTAATCCTAGCTACTCAGGAGACTGAGATCAAAGCCAGCCCAGGCAGAAAAGTCGATGGACTATTATCTTCAATTAACTACCAAAGCAGCAAGAAGTGCAGCTGTAACTCAAGTGGTAGAGTGTGAGCCTGGAGCATAAAAGCTCAGGTACAGAGCCTAGGCCTTAAGTTAAAGCCCAAGGACCAGAAGAATGAAAGAAAGAAAAGGAAGGAAGGAAGGGAAGGAAGGAAGGAAGGAAGGAAGGAAGGAAGGAAGGAAGGAAGGAAGGAAGGAAGGAAGGAAGGAAGGGGCTGAAAGAACTGAAACAAACTAAACAGACTTTGTTTATGCTATATACTTTTAAGAAATGTTTGTATAAATGGTTAATTTGGGGTTTCGGGGCAATACATATTTTACTCGTTCTAAGAACAAGCAAAATTAGTGAATCTTTATTGTTTTTAGAAAACAAATAAAGGGTTAGCATCCTGTGAGCTGTGCTCACAGTATTTTTAGCAACCAATCAATAAGTAACTGTATTATGGTTCTGTTTAAAAGTACCTCTCCTTTATTTATTTATTTATTTATTTTGTTGTTGTTGTTGTTAGTCCAGGATGGCTTCAAACTGAATGAATCCTCCTGCCTTCATCTTCCAAGTGCCGGGCTTATAGGCATATGCTGCCATGATGCCCAGCTACACTTTTATTTTAGTAAACATTGATGATCCTCTCACATAGAAATCACTGTTGATAGCACTGTAACTCAAAGGAATAACCAAAGGAACTTTATACAACACAGGCTAATTTTTTTCTCAAAGGCACCTAATAGCTTCCTTGTGTTTAGGAACACTGGTGTGTTTCACATATGATTGGGAGCTATATTAAAAACATCACCAAGTAACAAATGTAAAAAATGGGACAGTGTAGAGACTGCAAAGAAGACATTTGGATTGCAATGGAAGAGTTGAAACAACATCAAACGCTTCCTTGTGTGGCTCCAGCAGGAAATGTGTACACTCAAATTTTTGTGCTCTCTGCCATGTCCACACAGGATGGCCATAATGACAAAAATACTGGTCGGGAGAGGTTACACATAAGCATTAGTGAGTATATTTTAAAATACACTTGGCCCTCTCTACCTCCATGTTTCAAATAAGCAGAACTGTTAGATGAAAAATTGTACATGTATAGACATGCTCATGCCAATGTATTACAGCCTTAGTATCCTTAGATCCAAGGAGACTTCCATTTGGGATAAATCAGGAATACTCAGGATGCATTGAATCAATGCTGAGCTGTAGATGCTTGATTCATTTTTCCCATATTGCAACCCAACTTCCACTAAAAACATGCTGACTTTCAGCCAGGCACCAGTGGCTCACGCCTGTAATCCTAGCTACTCAGGAGGCTGAGATCTGAAGATCGCGGTTCAAAGCCAGCCAGGGCAGGAAAGTTTGTGAGACTCTTATCTCTAATAAACCGCTAGAAATCTGGAAGTGGTGCTGTGGCTCAAGTGGTAGAGTACCTTGAGCTGAGGAGCACAAGGACAGCGCCCAAGCCCAGAGTTCAAGCTCCATGACCAACAACAACAACAAAAAAACAAAAAACATGCTGACTTTCAACAAGTCTCAGTTTATCACTTCAATTATGCACATTAACTTTTACCTTGCTTTTGGGATACCATTCGTATTTTGGGAGATATAGTTTCACAAAAGGGCAAGCAAACACTTTGCAGATCATACACAGCACTGACTGAGGCCATCCATCTCTGCATCAATTGAGCTGCATAATGCACAAGTGGAAATTTAGATTTTTTGTTTTGGCTAGGTGCTAGTGGCTCATGTCTGTAATCTTAGCTACTTTGGTGGGTGGGATGTGAGAATCACTGTTCAAAACCAGCTGGGGCAGGAGAGGCCATGAGACTCATCTCCAATTAACCACCAGAGAACTGAAAGTGAAGTTGTGGCTCAAAGTGATAGAACACTAGCCTTGAGCAAAAAAAAAAAAAAAAAAAAACCAACTCAAGGACAGTGCTCAGGCCCTGAATTCAGAACCCATGATCCACAAAAATAAAAAATAAAATAAATGGAATAAAATTTTTTTTGTGTTTTTTTTTTTGGGGTCCGGTTGTGGGGCCAGAACTCTGGGCCTGGGTGCTGTCCCTCAGCTCTTCAGCTCAAGGCTAGTGCTCTATCACTTGAGCCACAGCACCACTTCCAGCTTTTTGCTTATGTGGTGCTGAGGAATAGAACTCAGGGCCTCATGCATGCAAGGTAAGCGCTCTACCACTGAGCCACCTTCCCAGCCCCAAATGGAATAAAATTTTTGTTCAAGAAACTTTTCTTTTTACCTTACTATTATTTTTTGACCATCAAAAAAATACAACAGTTAAATCGCATATAACAATTTGGCCAATAAAGCAGGTTTAACTGTATTCTGTAAATTCAGTATAACTATCTATACAATTTACATTTACAATATTTTAGATAATACAAATAATCTAGAGATGACTTAAAGTATACTGGAGGATCTATATTGGCAATATGCAAATGTGCTGTTTTATATAAGAAACTTGAGCATATGTGTGCATTGGAACCCATGGGAGATCCCCTTGAATACTAAGGATCCACTGCACAGAATTTTTATCCTTATTTTCAAATGTGTCTAGTTGGTCTAAGCATGTATATTTTCCTGTGTGTGTGTGTATGTGCTTGTGGCACTGGTCCTGGGGCTTGAACTCAGGGCCTTGGTGCAGTCCTTGAGTTTTTTGGTTTTTTTTTGCTAAAAGCTAGCATTCTACTACTTAAGCCACAGCTCCACTTTCTGACTTTTTTTGGTGCTTACTTGGAGATAAGTTTCATGGACTTTCCTACCCAGACTGGCTTTGAACTGTGAGCTGCAGATCTCAGCCTCCTGAGTAGCTATGATTATGAAAGTAAATTTTCAGTATCTATGAGAACTTGTAAGTAAAATGAGTTTAGAAGCCTGACAGGAAGAAATTTGGAATAAAACTTTTTCAGATAAGAAAAATAAAAGGGAAGGGAAAATTCATTATTGGCAAGATAAACAAAAGTGCTATGAAAATAGAACTAGAACTACACTGTTAGACTAAAACGAAACTTATCCATGAAATTTATCCATGAACTCAATATCAATTAGTCATTTTAACTCTTTCTTTTTCATTGTCAGCTATGAGGCTTGAACTTGGGACCTGGGCACTATCCCTGAGCTCTTTTGCTCAAAGCCAGTGCTCTGCCACTTTTGAGCCAAAGGCCCATTTCTGGGGGGGGTTTTTGGTGGTTAATTGAAGATAAGAGTCTCACAGGGGCTGAAAAGGTGGCTCAGTGGTAGAGCGCATGGCTTGCATGCTTGAGGCCCTGGGTTCGATTCCTCAGCACCACATAAGCAAAAAGAAAAAAGCCGGAAGTGGCGCTGTGGCTCAAGTGGTAGAGCACTAGCCTTGAGCTCAAGAGCTGAGGGACAGCGCTCAAGCCCAGAGTTCAGGCCCCATGACCGGCCCAAAAAAAAAAAAAAAAAAAAAGAGTCTCACAGACTTTCTTGCATCAGCTAGCTTTGAACAATGATCCTCAGATCTCAGCCTCTATGTGGCTAGGATTACAGGTATGAGCCACCAGCACCCAGCTTTGTCCTTTTAATTCTTAAGAATTAAGTGACAACTACTATGATTTTCAGAGCCTGACTAATCTCATTTTAAATTTTTATTTTTTCTTTTGAATTTTTTTTTGGTACTGGGGCTTGAACTCTCCTGATTCTTATACTCTCCACCAGCTTTCTGGCTCATTTCTGACACCCTTGAGCCATGCCTCCACTTCTGGCTTTTTACTGGTTAATTAAAGGTAAGAGTCTCAGGGATTTATCTACCTAAACTGGCATTGAGTCTCAATTCTATGATCTCAACCTCTTGAAGAGGTAGGATTATAGGTGTGAGCCACCAACACCTGGCTCGTTTCTAATATTTTGATACATTTACATAACTGAAAGATTCACACCAAAAAAATAACTCCCAAAAACCACACCTATCTTTGTTTTTCTATTCTACAGATCTTAGTACAGTATATAAATTATCTCAATACAGTGCTATTTACTCACAACAGAGACACAGAATGCTTTTGTCCAATTTATTTTTCTTGTGGTGCTGGGACCAAACCTAGAGCCTTGAACATGCTAAGTAAATGCTCTATCACTGAGCAACACCTCAATCCTAGAAATGACAAAGTTTTTCAAAATATTAAACATAAAACTTCAGATAACCATATACCAATCAACTAGAGATACTTCAAAGTGACAGAACAAAACTCAAAAACAATTCTGAATCTTAAGAGAGTAGAAGAAACACTTTTGGTTAAGTGACATTCACAGAACAAGTTCATAAAAAAGTAAAAAACACCATGTAATTGTAACCTCTCTGTACGGTATTTTCACAATTTAAAAAAAAGCCATTAAAAACAAACAAAAAAAAGTAAAAAACATTTTAGAGAAACCTAAATCAGCACTGATTTAAGTGCTCATATTAAAATAATCCAGATCTTCATATATAGTTATACAATTACATAGAAGAATGTTTAACTCCACCATGAAACTACAGATCACCTATTTTATATTACCTTCTTTAAATCTGTTTGTTATCCAGTCTAGTTGATCCAGTACACTTCGGAAGGTGCCCATATGATTGAGGACTTCCTGTGTTATAGAATTCAGGATCTACATCATCAAAGCACAAATACCAAATCAATCATAATTTATTCTGTAAATAGGATATATGCAACCAGAAAATCAATCTTTTTTATAGAAAATTAAAGATTATAAATTAAAGATTATAAAGTTTGAAAAAATCACTTAAAAATTATACTGGATACTTAATCAGATTTCATTTTTGGGGGGGGTCCAAGGAAGCAGGGAAGAATAACAAAAGAGTAAAGATAATGTAAGGGGGCAACAACAACAAAAATTATTAACAATGGAAAACATTAGAAAATTATGAATTTATCAAAGAATTCAAGATAAATACTAATGACACTAAAAACAGAATACCATATTGACTAAACTATCATCCAAAAGCTTTAAATTAATTCTCAAATGATGAAGAGGAAATAAGAGCATTTAAATAAAAATGATCCACCAAAATTGTATTGTAGAACCATAGGCTATTATTTATATTTTTATGATTTTTAGAGTATCAAAGTGACATAAAAGTATGATAAAATTGCAAAACCCATAATCTTGTCCTTTAGGATATAGAAGGCCAAGGATATAATGTTACTTCCTTTAACATTTTTGGAACTTACTGATTTCACACTGATTCCAGGAAAGAAGCCATTGATGACAATATGAATGGAATTTTGCAGCACAGTGGTTCGAAATTTTTCTAGTAAATCTCTCTTAGAACCCAAACCATAAAGCACAATGTTGAACCCAAGGCTGTTAAGAAACACAGTATTTGTATTAAAACTTACTACTAATTTTATTATCAACCAATTTCTTTGAGTTTATAAAGATATAGAAAGGAGACCTTAAAAGAAAAATACAGAAAGAATGAAGCTATTTAAAATAACTAAATTACTGATTCCCAAGGCACTATTTTATTAACTATATGAAGATTTATAGTTCTCATTACCTTTTGAGTTCAAATGCCTAGAGATAAGATACTAATGTGGTTGAAAAAAGTAAAGCAGAGTTGAAACTGATAAATTGGAAAGGTTATTAAACCATACTAAGATGTTAAGTGGCCTTTATTATAAGGATAATGAGCATTGAAAGTAACAAGTAAGGTAGGGCTGGGTAGGTGGCTCAGTGGTAGAGCGCTTGCCTTGCATGCATGAAGCCCCGGGGTTCGATTCCTCAACACCACATAAGCAAAAAGAAAAAAGCTGGAAGTAGCACTGTGGATCAAGTGGGAGAGCGCTAGCCTTGAGCTGAAGAGCTGAGGGACAGTGCCCAGACCCAGAGTTCAGGCCCCAAGACTGGACCTCCCCCCGACCCCCACAAAAAAAAAAAAAGTAACAAGTAAGGTGTTAACCAGAGTGTTTTCAGTAGGAAAATAGCATGATTTTTTTTTGTCCGTCATGGGGCCTGAACTCTGGGCCTGCGTGCTATCCTTCAGCTATTCAATTCAAGGCAAGTGCTCAACCACTTGAGTCACAACACCACTTCCAGTTTTCTGGTAATTGGAGATAAGAGTCTCACGGACTTTCCTGTCTGGGCTGGCTTTGAACCACGAACCTAAGATTTCAGCCTCCTGAGTACAAGCATGAGCTACCAACACAGACCTGCATCAGTTATTTTTTAAATAGGTTCTCTTTTTGCCAGTGCTGGTGTGGACTCACCACCACACCCAGCCATTAGCTGAAATGGAGTCTCCTTAAGTTTTTTTTTTTTACCTTGAACTGTGATTCCCCCAATCTCTACCTCACAACTAGTGAGGATTTCAGGCGACAACCACTACACTAAGCACATTCTTTGTAGGAAGATCATCTTGGCTGCTTTAAGAAATGGATAGGAAGGAAAACTAAATTCAGAATCAAAAATAAGATTCCCAATTCAGTGATGGGAAGAAAAATGTGATATATCAAAAGTTTTTCTCGAAGTTGTGGCTCAAATGGTAGAGCACTTCTAAGAAGCAAGAGGTGCTGAATTATAACCCCAGTACTACCAAAAAAACAAAACAAAACAGTTAACTGTTTCCTGATATAGGCAAATACATAAATGAGGTGACTGAAATTCAGAGACAGAGTCAGGTGATTAATGTATTAAATGAACTCGACTTTATGTATGTTAAATTATCTATGTTTAAACATTTCAACATGTATTTAGGTATTCATGTCTACTGCTAAGTCTGGGATACAGATTAGAGTTATGATGAGAGTCATCACATTAAATGAACAACAGTAAATAAATACTTATATAAACAAGTAAACTAAAAATAAAGAGCAACAGAAGGCAAGAAATTGATGAGCTCACCAAGCTAAACTAAACTCCATGACTGTTTACAAAGTTCAGATATTGGTGTGAAGCCTTTGTACCTATAGAATAGTCTAGGAATAGAAAAATGGGAAAGTGATAACCCTGAACAAGGGGTTAGGCAAGGTAAAGTATCAAAAAGAGGAAAGGAATTCAGATAGCTAGCAACCTAACTGAAGTAGCTGACTCTAAGGTGTAAAATGGGAAGCAAAGCAAGTCAAAACAATTCAATTTGGAAGAAGGAATAAATGGAAAACTAGGGAATGGAATTTGGGATTAAAGAGCTGCCACACAAACTATAAATCTGAAATCCATTAGGTAGTTAACGAGAAAAGCTGAGGTTCTTGCAGGAAAAGATAACTGTTCTCTTCCTAGCATAACCCTGGGGCATACTACCAACATAAAAGCAAGATCAGTTGAAATAACTGATTTCTATATTCTTCCTGTTCATGGACTTGCATTCTTATTTGCTTGTCTCTGTAACTGTGAATGTGAGGATATATTTATATTAGGGTATACTATGAATATTTCCATATGCTATGCCCTTTTTCATGTAAGTAAAAAAGCATTATGATTTGATTTTTTTTCTTCTGCCAGTCCTGGGGCTTGAACTCAGGGCTTGCCACTGTTCCTGAGCTTCTTTTATTCAAGGCTAGCACTCTACCACTTGAGCCACAGCACCACTTCCAGCTTTTGCTGAGAAGTTTACTGGAGATAAAAGAGTCTCGTCGATGTTCATGCCCAGGCTGGCTTCAAAACGCAATCCTCAGATCTCAGCTTCTTAAGTAGCTAGGATTACAGGTGTGAGGGTGCCTGGCCTGTGATTTGATTTTAATCACTCTTCCAGGCACTTTTATGCAAACAAATTTTAATCTGAGGTATCCTCCAAAGACATAAAATTGAATATTCTAATAAACAATTTTAAAATGCAGAATGTTTACAAGAGAAAAAAAAAATCCCATGGAATTCTCAAAGTATATGCATATAAAATTACATTAAGAGAAAGTAAATATGCCTGGACTGGGGCATCAAGAGGCAGACTGCTAGCTCAGAAAGTGGGAGGTCCTGAGTTTAAAAAAAGTAACATAGGGCTGGGAAGGTGGCTCAGTGGTAGAGCGCTTGCCTCACATGCATGAGGCCCTGGGGCAGATTCCTCAGCACCACATAAGCAGAAAAAGCTGGAAGTGGCACTGTGTCTCTAGTGGTAGAGCACTAGCCTTGAGCTGAAGAGCTCAGGGAAAGCACCCAGGCCCATTGTTCAGGTGCCAGGACTGGCAAAAAAAAAAAAAAAGTAATGTAGTAATACATATTAGTTCATTTTAGAAACTTCTCTGTGGATAACTGAATTTAAATCTAATTGGTAATATTTATTCATTTATGTGTATGTGTGTATATGTATGTGTGCATGCTTGCACATGCATATACATGGGTTAGTACTGTGGCTTGAACTCAGGGTCTAGATTGTCTCTTAATTTCTTCAATCAAGGCTGGTATTCTACATCACTTAAGCCATAGTTCTTATGAATTTCTGGTGGCTATCTGGAGATAAGAGCCTTCTCAGGCTAGCTTTGAACCTTGATCCCCATATCTCAGCCTCCAAAGTACCTAGGATTTTAGGCATGAGCCACCAATGCCTGGCATATTAATCTTTTTTCTTTCTTTTTTTTGTTGTCAGTCATGGGGCCTGAACTCTGGGCTTGGGCTGTCCCTCAGCTCTTCAGCTCAAGGCTAACACTCTTGAGGCACAGCGCCACTTCCAGCTTTTTCTGTTTATGTAGTGCTGAGGAATTGAACTCAGGGCCTCGTGCATGCAAGGCAAGCACTCTACCACTGAGCCACCGGTGCTTCCCAGCCTGATATTAATCTTTACAAAACCAAAACTATACAGTTTCTGAGAAGAGTTATAAAAAGAGACGGGAAAATCTACTCAATTAATTTTGAAGTTTACTACTGAGAGAAAACTTTATTAAACTATTTGGTTTCACATAAAGACACATATTATTCTCTATTTTAGAAGGGTTTGCAATGATAATACTTACTGTAACTGCAGCATCCACTTGTGAAATAATTTTTCATATTGTTGATTTAATTGTTTAATTTCAGCAGAAAAGGAAGGAGAAAACTTGCTCAATAAATTACGCAGAGTTTGCTTAAAAAAAGAAAATAGAAATCATTCTCAAAACAAGTACATCATATCAACCTCCTTAGAGGCTGAGGTAAGAAGAAGCTGAGCACATGTGAAGCTCTGGGTTTATATCCCATTTCAACAATAATAACCACAACACATACAAAAAAAAAATCAAACCTACAAATCTGAAAAAAAATGTAAATGCTTAAAGGTTTTTTAGTGTTTGAACTTAGGACCTCACATTTGCTTCACTAGAACTCTATTGCTGAATCACCCACCACCAATTCCGTTTTTATATAGTGGGTTTTTTGTTTTTGTTTTTTTATAAAGGGCTGGGAAGGTGGCGCCCAGGCCCAGAGTTCAGGACCCACGACCGGACCCCCCCAAAAAAAAAAGAACTGGGGGACAGTGTCGAGCCGCCCCTTTCCTGACTGTTTTTTTTAAAGATAGGGTCTGGTGGCTAACACCTATAATCCTAACTACTCAGGAGGCTGAGATCTGAACCCTACTCAGGCAGGAAAGTCTATGAGATTCTTATCTCCAATTAACCACCAGAAAAGGCACTGTTGACCAAAGTGGTAGAACGCTAGCCTTGAGCAAAAAAACCTTATGGACAGCACCCAGGCCCTGAGTTCAAGCCTCATGACCATTAAAAAAAAAAAAGCACAGGATCTCATTTCCTGTCTGGGTACACACCTGGACTGTGATCCTCCTGCTTTAGGTTTCCTGTAGTTGCTGAGATCACAGGTGTACACCACTGCATACAGTTTCTCTCCATGAAGATTCAGTATCATGGACTTTTCTGTCCAGCCTGGCCTGGAACTGAGATCTTGACCTCAGCTTCATACATAACTTGGGAAGACAGACATACACCACTGTACCCAGCTATAGGTTGAAAAAGTCTTGCCTCAAATCATGATCCTCCCATGATTAGCTTTCTAAGTAATTAGCATTATAGATGTAAAACCAACAGTACTCAGTTTAACTCAATTTTTTTTTTAGGGGAGGGGTACCATCCTGGGGCTTGAATTCAATCTTTTTTTTTTTTTAACTAAGACTTATTTTCCATTCATTTTTCCACATAGATAATCTTGGTACAATTATTTTTTTTTGTTGTTGTTTTTTGGGTCTGGTCGTGGGCCTGAACTCTGGGCCTGGGCGCTGTCCCTCAGCTCTTCAGCTCAAGGCTAGCGCTCTACCACTTA